AGTACGGGGAGGGACGACGAGGGGAGTAGGGAGAGGGGTGTTACGTGAGGAGGGTAGTGTTGAGGTAGTTCATGAATGTCATTCTCGGCACGAAGGCAAAGTCATGCAAGAAACCGAACTGAAAGCATGCTAATAACTCCTGTAATATCTCTTTTGGCCTATCTGCTTGACGACCTTTTCTTGGGGTATAAATCTTCATCTCCAGGGATCATCGTCCTCATCCCATTTTCGCATTTGAAAAGTCCATCTCAGGGTGCTGCTTCTTGAACTGCTCCAGGATATCCGCCTTCTTCTGCTCGTCGCTCGTCGGCTTCCCTAGCTCCTTCTGCTTCTGGTCAAACATCATCTTCTCCACCATGCCGCGTGTCTCGCCGTCGAGGTCGCCCAGTTTGCTGTTCTCGGGCTGGATCTTGGAGGTGTCGATCTTGGGCGCTGTGGTAACGACGTGGGCCCACCACTCCATCTGGTTCACTTTGTCGAGGTGGATGGAGATCTCTTTTTGGGACCCGACGGAGGTCAGTGTCCAGGTGGAGTCGTCGACGCGTATGGCATGAGGCAGCTCGCCCTGGACAAAGCGTTAGCTCATGCTTTTGCTGGAGGACAACAAGCAAGGACGAACGTCGATGAAAGGCTCCTGGCCCTTGATGCCGGCCTTGAGCGCGTTGCGGGTTATCTTGACGTCCAGGTCCTTGCCCTTGTACTTGCCATCAATGGTGATGGCGATGTCGAGGTCCTTGATGGTCTGGTCCCACTTGTAGGGCAGGGCGGCCTGCTCGGCCTGCTCCTTTGCGCGGGCGTCGGCGTCGGCCTTCTCGCGCTCTTCGGGTGGGGGTGAGGCAGACATGGCGGCGTGTTTGGCGGCGTGGAGGGAAAAGTTTCAGTGTTTGGGAGGGGAGCGTGGGCGGGACACGATGACGCTCCTCCGCCGATCCATCGTTCGCAGCAAGCCCGACGCAAGCGCAAGCTCCACCATGCGCCCTGCTTCACTCCTCCTACCCCGGTCCACTCCAATAACGGACATGCTCCTCGGATTGCAATCTACGGGCCACCCTCTCCTCTATTGATAACGCGACGACTCCTATCCTTCACCCGCGCCGTGATGCTCTCCTAGCACCGCCCGAGCCATTGCGACACCCGGCCACGACACCCGCACCCACCGCCAGCACGACGGCTACACGGCACCACCGAGCCCGCGGCCCAACCGGGCAGCCACCTGTGAAGTCATGGCCAGCTCCTTCGAGAAGAGTGTCAAGGGCGGCACCAAGATCAAGGTAGCTATGCGCCCTCGCTCCTTCCGGCTGCTTCCCATGCGCCATCACGCTGGACTAACACACGATACAGCTCGCCGCGCCCAAATCCAAGTATGTCGAGCACATCCTCGTCGCGACGCATGCCGGCGAGGCAGGCGTCGCTGAGATCTTTCGCGCCCTCACGAACCGACTACGCGACTCGACATGGACCATCGTATTCAAGAGCTTAATCATCGTACATCTCATGATAAGAGAGGGCGAGCCCGAGGTCACGCTCAAATACCTGGCGCAGAACCCACACAGAAAGCTGGCCATCAACCATTTTACAGAGGGTACGTCTTGAGATTCACTTCCGGGCCGCCCAGCCAGGGTGATGTGGCTACAACACGGGCACGAATTGGGCAGCAACCGCGTCGCCCAATGCCCTGTATCTTGAGACGGATGGCATTTGGACTGCAACAGAAGGCATACACCAGGCGCTAACATTGCGTGCAATAGTACAGACCCAGGGCCACAATATCCGGACCTACTCCGAATACCTGCTGCGACGTGCGATCGAATATGGCGCCACCAAAGTCGACTACGTGCGCGGCGGCGAGGGGCGGCTTAAGCGGCTGACTGTGGAAAAAGGCCTTCTTCGTGAAGCCGAGAGTGTGCAGGACCAGATCAGATCACTGCTCAAGTGCCAGCCCTTCGACGACGAACCAGAAAACGAGATTACTATGACCGCGTTCCGATTGCTCACGATGGATTTGTTGGTACTCTTCCATGTTATGAACGAGGGCACCATCAACATACTCGGTGAGTCCAACATGTCTTCTTGGTTTGCAGGGTATTGATAAAGTAGAGCACTATTTCGAGCTGTCAAAGCCAGACGCAACGCGCGCGCTGGCAGTATACCGCACATTCGTCAAGCAGACTGAAGCAGTCGTCCAATACCTTAGTCTTGCAAGAGCACACGAACACTCGACAAGGCTGGAAATCCCCAAGATCAAGCATGCTCCTACCAGTCTGGCAGCATCCCTGGAAGAATATCTCAACGACAAGGACTTCGAGATCAACCGACGACAGTACATCGCCGAGAAGGAGGCGAAGAAGAACGGAGGCAAGCCTACCAATGGCGCTAGCAAACCCGTGGATATGAAGCCTTCCATGGCAAATGCACCCTCAAACAATACGAGCAGTCAGCAGCCAGCAGCAGCCTCGAAACCCTCCTCCAGCGCACCCTTGATTGACCTCTTTGCATCACTCGAGGACAACCAACAAACAATGGCCACGCAGCCCATGATGCAGCAGTATCCCCAACAAACAGGCTTCCAGGTTCCACAACAGACAGGCTTTCCTCAACAGCAGCAACAGCCCTTTGCTATGCAGAATGGCCAGAGCACCAATCCATTCCAGATGCAGCAGCCACAGGCGCCGCAGATGCAGGCACCTCAGCTCCAGTCACAATTTACAGGCGCAGGCTTTGGAGGCTATTCGCCTCAACCGTTCGGTGTACAGAATACCATGCCTTCAATACCACAGAATGGTATGCCTGATTATTCACAACAGCAGCAAATGCAGATTCCCACAATTGCCGAACCCCTACAACCACAACAAACGTCAACAAACCCATTCCGACAGTCAATGCTGCCCAGTGCCGAACCCAAGATGCTCACTAGCCCTACCAGCACTGGATCGCTCAATCGGTCATCCACGAACCCATTCGCAAAACAAAGTACCGGTTTCTCGCAGTCGCAATCACCCATCAATTCTCCACCTTACTCCATGTCACCCATCCAAGAATCGCCATTTGCTCCGATGCAGCAGCAGCCTTTACAGCCGACTCCTACCGGCACAAATCCATTTGCACGGCAGCCCTCGCCGCAGAGCGCCGCATCCCCACAGGGTGGCCTGACAGTAAACGCTACAGGCAGTACCAATCCTTTCCGGCAGAGCGCTTTTGTCAACCAGCAAACGGGCCAAGGTTGGCAGAATACAGGTAGCCAAGGGACGATGGGCGGAATGAGCCTGGATCAGGTACCTACAACGAGTGTCTTTCCACGGCCCGGACAGCAACAGCAGCAAAACTTTCTTGGCTAGGATCAAGACATGATGATGGGTCAATGGTAGACTGCGACTGTAGGAAGCTCAAAGGGCAATTCGTACACTCGTAAACGGGCATTTTCATTAGGGATGGCGTTTCTATATCGCTCGCCGCTGTAGTTATTACGTACTCGGTTGGACATAATCATGTTGCACTGCGCAAGGCTAGTCGTGTGTATATCGGTTTCTTGGAAGGGGCGTCGGGAGCCCGCTCAATGTCGGATGTCCAAGGGCAGATTGGGTTGTTTTGTGATAGATCATGTACCGACGATGTTGTCGTTGTTGACGAGCTGGGCTGAGGCCAGGAGGGGAAGCCCCTCGCTAATGCATTATAATTACTGTCGCACACCCCGCGTTGTTCTTCCACTGTACAGAGCGTTGAGCCTTGACTCTGACTTTTGTGTTGGCAATTCTACCTGGGAGGTCGCGTCGAGTGGGGCTAAATAGTCGCCACTGCCTCTTAGGTAAATGCAGGGGTAATACAAGCCACGTGCCGACGCGTTGCCGTAGATTTAGCGCGACGGGCACAACTTGCCTATCAAGCCTCACAGCCGGCACAACACGATCCCCAATCTCACTCACTCGACGCCGCTTGATATCTACTACAGATGACGACGGTTTCTGCCATCTCTATCTGGACCCGCCTCCCATGACCTTATTGAAAGAGCGCAAATCTGTCGACTGGCGCTGGCAAGCCCGCATCAGCGTTATCAACAATGAAACCTGACGGGTCTCTGGACGCTCCCTTCACTCTGGATGACGACCCACCTAGTTATGTTCCTGCGCCTACAGTGCGACGGCGCCATCGCCAAACGCTTGACCAAGATGGGCTTGAGGAGATCTCCGACGCGCAGCAAGCTGCAGCTGCATGGAAGGAAGTCGCCGCACGGAGACAAACGAAACAAAGACACGGGAAAAACATGAGCAATGATACGTCTGGGGGAGATAGTAGTAAGAAGGACAGCAATCTCACAAACAAACCGCGAGACCGGACGTCGTCATCCACGAAGTCTGTTGAGATTGTTGATCTTTCAATCGATGAAGACGAACCGCCAGTATCCGGACAAGCAACACAATCAGGCGCAAGTACCAGAGTAAATCAGCGCCCAATTCAGGGACCACAGGGTTTTGTTCCTTTGCCTACTACGCGTCACGAAGCTGTGCTTCCTGAGCGAGCTAAGCCTGCTGAGTCTCCTAAGAGAACGAGTCGGATATTCTCTCTCCCCATGGAATCTCTAGCAACTCCGGCGTATAACTCACATCATGCACCTCTATCATCGGTCGCACGAACAGCGGGGCCATTCTCGGGACCTTCAGAGCCCTCGATAACGCCGACTCATCACTCACACTTTGTGCCCAGCTCGTCAGTGGTGCAAGCTACAGAACCAAGTGCGGAGCTTTTAAGGGGACCTTCAGCAAACCCAGTCTATCAACCACGCTACCTGCCTCGACCATCTGTCACACAAGGAGCGGGACCAAGTGCGGAAGTCTCCAAGTTCACGCCGCTGAACCGCTCGCCGTCAGCCGCATCAACACCAAGTACAGAACCGAGCGTTACCACTCAAGCGATCCTGGGACATGAGAATCTTTCCCCTCAGCCTACGTACCGTGCGACGTCGGCCGTCGGAGCCTCAACCGACCGTACCGCACCCGACTTGGACCATGCCGTGGATCCATCGGCTCAGCCAACCAGTAATATCTCCGAGACTCCACCTGAACAAGCCTCTTCAAGTCGCGAAGATACAATTCCGGAGTCGGACGACGCAACACCGGATGATGATAGCGGCAGCATGACTATCCCTTTGCCTAATAAGTCGCCCGAGCCAAGCCTTTCAGCAATACAAAGACTGCCGCAGAAACAGAAAGCCATCAAGTCAGTAAGACGAAGAGATGATGGGTTCTCGGGTTCACAGCTGCCTGTCAGACCACCGCGTCAGTCTGCGACTGATCATCGAGACGTAACAAACTTATCCTTCAAGCCTCTCGACCTGGGCTCGAGTAAGTCGAGGTCCGGGTCGCCTGTGGTAACACGTCGTAGCCAAAGCAAAACTCCAACGATAGATACTAGTATCATTGCTGATAGCGCGCCTGCGCAGACGGAGGAAGAATCCGTCAGGGCTGCCAGTCCTGTGGAACGCAGCACAACGCCGACACAATCGCCGCCACCGCCACCTCACGATGAGGCAGGCGAACCTGCACCGGGGCGTGCCATTAGCTCGACACCTTTACTGTCCCGTTCTGCCACCCCTACTGCCCTGCGTCCTGTCGAAGCATCAGCAGAGCCGACCCGGCCCTCTCAAGCGCCATTACCAGTCCCCGAAATTATGATCCCAGATGTACCAGCTCCGGCAACAGTCGTCAGTACTCATCCAACCATCGAACCCGAACACCTTCGGGTGCCTGTCGAGAACGGTGGTGGTAGAACAAGCAAGAAGCCCCCACTGCAAGCAGATGTGCTCGTCACTACACGCTCAGCTGTAGAAGCGTGCTTGAAACGTCATGTGGCGGAACGACATGAATTACATGCATACCTGATGGAGACGAAGATGCGGAATCAGAGAACGTTTCAAGAACAAGACCTACGCGCCCGGTCCCGTAAGCAGAAGCGTCCACAACAGCCAATCCTACCCGAAAAGTACATTCAGAAGACTTCCCCCTTTGAGAACATGCGTGCTATACAAGTGCCGTTCGACAGAGCCAACGCCAAGCGCCTCGTGGATATGAGTCAGGAAACATTCATCAAGGCCAAACCCAAGGATACAGTGGTCAAGTCAGGCTTAGCCGTGCCCACTACAAAGTACAAGAGTGATGCGCCAAAAATTCCTCCTTTCAAAGAGTATGTCAGTCTGAGGAACAACGTTCTCAAAGACAATGAGTCAAAACTACTCGCAACACCCTATTTCCAGGACGAAGACTATCGTGGTCGCGAGGTTCTGCTGGATACGCTTCCTTATATGTACGAGATGACGCATGACGAGAAGGGACCGCTAGACTTCCGCAAGGAACAGTGCCGGTTCTACGATAAAGCCATCGAAGCATTCCTGTCTGAGATAGGCATCACGTGGAACGATATCCTGTTTTGGTTACTGGCCCAGGATGAAGACCTTGTACGAATCAACGACTCTTTGAATGGAAGCAAGCAGTTTGAAGCACAGCTCCTCGAAAGATCACGATATCACATTGAGGAGTTTGAGAGAGACGGTGAGCCGAAGAAGGCTATTCTGTTTGACCGGAACAACAAGAAGTGGGAAGAGTTTGTCGCACAGCTTGAAGAGCCGATCCCGAGTGCTCTGAGACTTGCGGCAACAGCTTCTGCAGCGGTATTCAAAGAATGTGAATTCAGCATCTGGTACCTGGCTCAACAGTCCAAAGCTGTACAGAGTCTCATACGGAAGAAGTCTGCACATGAACAGTCTTCCAAGCACTCAACGTACAAAAAGATCATGTGCAGAGTATGCCATCAGTAAGTACCAACGCGTAGGTTTTGATGACGAAATCCTAACATTCTTGACAGACACGATTGCCTTCTTCATGGCGAGATCAGACAAGTACCTGAGGATTCCTGGAAGACGGACTCAGAAGACGAAGAGCGCGCTACACAGGCGACTGATGATACCAGTCGTCGAGGCTCCAATAACAAAACCCCGCGCCGTGTGTCGAACTTTAGCAGAGACGACACAGACGATGAGAACGAACCCGGCGACCCCTTGCCCGCACATTTTGACTCCGACTCCGACATTGAGAAGGTCATAAACTATAAGCTCCCTGCAAACCCAAGTGCTTTCGAGTCTTGCTCAGAGACGGAGATGATTACCCCCAAAGGTGCGAAACCGCCACCTGGTAAGTTTAATAGCACTTGGTGGCTGAACCAGGATACAACGCAACATTGGGAGAAGAGAAAGCCTTTTTTCCCATGCAAGCACGAAGGCAGCTGCGAGAACGCGAAATGCCGGTGCTTCAGAGAAGGCATCAATTGTGAGAAAACATGCAAGTGCTCTCACTCTTGCAATCGACGTTATCCTGGTTGCAGTTGTGCAACAGCGTCAGGGAAGCGCGTGTGTCTTACACAGACATGTCTCTGCGTCAAATTCAACCGAGAGTGCGATGCAGACCTCTGTGGCTCTTGCGGAGCATCTGAAGTCCTTGACCCAGTGAATCGTTATAACGATGAAGTGGTTCAACGCACCTGCTGTAATGTTGCGATACAGAGGGGTGTTCCTCGGAAAACATTGCTCGGTCATTCGGAAGTGCATGGCTTTGGACTCTATATGGGCGAGGACATCAAGAGTGGCGAGTATATTGGTGAATATACTGGCGAGGCCATCTCGGTCAAAGAAGGCGATCGCCGAGTGACGATATACGACTACCAGAAGACGATGTATCTGTTTCGTTTGAACTCGAGTGAGTTTCTATATTGCTCTCACGCGGATCAGATTGCTAACACCAACATGTAGAGCAGGAAGTTGATGCGACATACATGGGTAATAAACTACGCTTCATCAACAATGCCGACGACAAGTACACGAACTGCGGCCCCAAGAACTTGCTGTGCAACACGGTCTTTCGCATCGCGCTCTTCGCCACCAGAGACATCAAGGCAGGCACCGAACTGTTCTTCAACTACAACTATCCCAAGGAGAAGACAGAGCAATTCAAACAGCCTAATGCCAAGATCGTCGCGGTCAAACAGACCAAGCAAAAGACGAAGAAAAGGGAGTCACTCACCAGTCTGAGCCAGCCCATCGAGGACCGCTCACGTATCCTTGCCGCCACAGCAAAAGCCAGAGAGGCAAAAGCAGCGAAACGGAAAGAGGCCATGCTGCAAGAGGGCGGCGTGGAGCCAGCCACCAGAAGGCGCTCTGGAACACTTCAAGCACGAAAGGCAGCTACGAGCAAGCCCGGACGCAAAGCAGTGCGAAAGTCCAAGCGCGGAGGGCTTAATAGGAACGAGTCCACAGGTTCAGATACGGGTATGGATGCAGAGGCAAGCGACCCCGAAATCCCCGATATCCCTCCCGTCATTGAGTCGCAGAGCACTCAGACTAGTCTGTACGTCCAGGACACGGAGGCGGAAGACGACGAGTTCATCTTGCCAGATACCCAAGAAGACGAAGAGCAAAATGTGGCTGAAGCGGCCTCTGAGGATGATGAACCGCCCGGTCGATCTACGAGGTCTCGTCGTGGGCCGGGTCGACCACGTAGGAGGGGGTCGGATGTGGCGCCGGTGGTTGCGGTCAAGCAGGCGGTTAAGCAGGCAGTCAAGCAGAAGAAGTCGAAGATGGGCGGTGCACGGCCAGGTGCTGGCAGGAAGAGAAAACGACCCGTTATTGCTAACAGCGACGATGAGTGAGACCTCTGCGCCAGTAGCTGGGATTGTACATTGGTGGAAGGATGAGAGGGACGATGTGAGTGGGATGTCTGGTTGGTGTTCATTTTTGTGTTTAATACCCCGTTCTATATTGCTCCAAGCAAAACATTACTACAGAAGAGTTTCACCTGCCTGTAAAGTTTCCAGTCCAAATGCGCAAGACGTGTCGGCACCCTCAACGATAGAAGTTGCATAACCTACTTAGTCACCCTTGCCACTGCGCAAGCAGCTGCGACGTTCCTTTCAGCATCACAACAGACTCGTGCATCCCCGCAACACCAAAGCCACCCCCTCTCCCACCCCGTACCAAACCGCTGCCCTAATCCAGAAGAGCTGCCAGCCCAACCCAACGGCCGCACCAACCTCCGGGACGCGACCCGCGAAAAGCTGCAAGCCAGTACCGGGCGGCATGCTTACCCATCTAGTGTGCAACCACACCCAGCGATCTGCAACAGCGGGGAAAAGCAAACGGCATTCGTTCGAGACCGAGACTATCGAATCGAACGCTTGGGTAGCGGGAAAGAGGGGGGATAAGCAGCGGAGACTGGAGGTGTCATCTAGACGTGGGATTGACCGCACAGGCGTGATAGGTAAGTAAGCTCAGCGGGAAGAAGCAAAACGTTAGTTTCAATCGATATTTCTACGATGGATACGTGCCTGCCTGCACAACTGTTGAGATTGCGATTGCACTGTGCGCAACGCAACTCCTCCTATCTAGAGATATGGTAATTTGGCATTCAGCATACTCGGTTTACCAAACGCCCCATGCTGTGCGTGCGCCTCTTCCGGTGCGGATCGCTGCACCCACGCACGAGATGTGCTACAGGTATGTCTGTAGACAGCCGATGCGTTTAAGGTTTAGAGTGGGGCGGGGAAGGCCTGGCTAGTAGTTGAGATGGGCGAGATGCGACAGGAACGCGTGGAAACGGCGAGATGTCATGTGTGAGATGGATCTTGTAAGACTTGGTATGCAGCGGAGATGCTGTGATTGGAAACGTGTGTGTGTGTGTGTGTGTTTGGTGTCGCACCTGATTAAGCCCGGTGCAAAGAAGAGGCGGGTAAAGACATAAATGAACATCACGTGGAAGCTCCACCATCCATCTTCAGGGCTGGGCAATGTCTTGAACCTGATACATCGCAAGACGCGTCTTCACACGAAGCTCAGCCATGATTTCCCATCCACAGGCAGCGCTACGCACATACATCTCCGTCGACCTACGTCAACAAAACGTCTTTCTTTTTTATTACCCACCCCCCTTAGCTCCGATGCGCATCTGAAGCCCGAACATGGGAAGCGACGAAAATACCCGAGACACAGACGCGTGCCAAGCTTGCACCAGAAAGGGAACGCACCTGCTACATTTAGCCTCTTTGCTCCGCAACCGGTGCTCCACCCACTCGTTGCTGCACTAGCCACACGCTCGGCCAACCTTCGCGCCCACGCCGCGGGTTCAAGCTGTGGTGTGCGTGGTGTGTAGTTCGGCGCGCGTTCCGTCTGCTGCGCGAGAGGAGCAGTACATACATACAAGGAGCATGCAATACTACTATGCACGTATAAAATGAAAGAAGCAAGACGGCGGAACAAGAGCCCACGGAGACGTTCATCTCCGGCGTCGCGCATGCCGCAACGAGGTCTGGATCCACCCCGTGTGATTGGATGCTGATGTCATTGTACGCGGCTGGAGCGTGCACCCACTTTCACATGTCAGACGACGACGCTTCACGCATCAGCAGGACCCAGGTAGGTGCTGCAACACGGACAACGGCCCCACTGTCCAACTCGCGCAAATGATGGCGCGCTTCACTTGCCCTTCAGCTGGCGGTGCGTAACAAAAGCTTGGAGCAAACGTGCCAAACCTCATCTTGCTTGTCTGTCCGTTCTCCTGAGGCGTGTCTAGACTCGCTCGTCACTTTTTGTCTGAATTGTTCCGCGGAATAATTAACTGCAGTAACCAAGGGGTTTGTGTTGTTGGAATTGGGTATTCTTTCTTGCCGGTATCCGCAGTCTTGCATGCAGCTGGATCTGTTCATCATCCATTCTCAGCCTTACTCCTCATTTCTCACCTGACGTCTTCCCGACTCCGCTTTCCACCACCCACCCACCAACCAACCAACCATCTGGGCACGCTGCCGGCACATCACCACATCCACTTTCAACCACACGTCTCGGTCTTTCTCGACGCACTTCACATCTCCCCGGCCAAATGGATTGTATAGAGGCCATGGGTGCGCGACGTGCCATGTCGCTCATGTTCACCGTTCCGGAGCGCTTCGTCGGTTTCGCGCACATGGACCAGAAGACTTTCTTCGAACTCTCCGACTGGATCCTCGCAAACGTCGCATCGACTATTACTACCGACATAAGTGTGGAAGAGTCGCTGTTCATATTCTTGGATATCGTGGCACAGGGGAACAGCTTCAGTACCGTGGCGTATGGATGGGATCATGACCTAGAGCTTACACAAGGGTATGTTGTCGAGCGAAAACTGTTTGCGTTGTATCGAGGTAAAGACTGACTGTTGCGCGTAGCATATTCCTCAACGTCCTCAACGCCCTCACGGTTCTGCGCGAGAGTAGGGAGATTGCCGATTCATGCCCGCCCTTCACACAAACCCGCAAGCGATGGGAAGTCGCTCGGAGATGGAACCAGAAGCGGGCGCGTATGGGCACCGGCGGTGTTGTCCGCATCGGCTACGACGAGATGTTGCGCGACGGCCTCGAGGTTGACCAAGAATGTCTGAAAGAGGCGCTGATGGCGATGAACAACTTCATCCACGAGAACGCCGACCACGACGAATCATGATGGCGCACAAAACTGGTAGTTTCCTGCATTTGTTCCGGTGTTGGTTTGGCGTTTGGGTAACGACTTGGTAACGCATTGCATCGGTTGGGAGGGTTGAGCTTGGTGTTGACAGTCTTCTTTCGTTCTCGTTTCGTATGTACATATGTACGCTCTTTTGCAGGTCGAATTCGATCTCGACTGGCCGTTCGGTGCCGCTCAATTCGCCTTCCTCAGATATGTCGTGTGTCGTGACGTCTTTGATATCGCCCGATCAACCCAAGGCTACGGCTTCCACCGTGCCCTTGCCCAGCACACTCAGTCTCCCCCTCTTGATTCCCAATGCGTCTTCAATCCTCGCATCGGGCTCTCCCTTGCTTCGTCTCATCATCGCCAACGTTATGACACCAGCATCCACATACGTTCTTCCCTGGAACCCTCTCCTACCAACGTCTCGCAACTCATCTTCCGCCTGGTCTGCTATCCGTTGTCTCGCCTCCAGTACCCGTAGTACGGGGTTATTGCGCGGGTCGGGGAACGCAGACTGCGGTGGCGATTGCATCATCGTATCGGAGGGAAGATTCGGCGAGGTATTGCGGCGAGGGTCGAATTGCGAGGCAGACGAAGGCGAGAAATGAGGGTTCGGTTGAACAGCACCCAGACTGCTCAGGCGAGATGCAAAGGCAGGGTCGCGGGCATCTTGTAAAACAGCTAAACTAGAAATCAGTGCCGTGTCCCCATGCGCTGACAGCGTGTGAATACATACCCTCGGTCTTTTCCCCAGAGGCCTGCACCTCGGGATGGACAGTCGGTCCCTTTACAGGATCCTGTGCGGGTGCGGAAGGCGCGGGAGCCCGTGTTGTAGTATTTGTAGGGGCTCTGGTAGGGTATTTACGAGCAGCAGAGCCCGCCGCCTTTGCGCCTTTGGAAGCCGAAGAGCCCATTATCTCTGTTGGGAATTCGTCGAGTGTGGGGTAGTTGCAGAATGTTGAGATGCGTGGTGATAACGGGGGGGCAGATAAGATGCACGTATGGGACTTTGTGAAGCTTGGACCACTCTGATGATGTAGTGGAGATCTCCCGCGTCATGAAAAGGGTTTACTACTTTGGGCGATGCTTGCGAAGGCTGCAACGAATCGTAATTTTGTTTTAGAACACATTGTGACATGCTAACTCTATCAAGGACTGTTTCGGCTTATAGGAGCTTTTCGTCGGCACGGTAATGTCCTGCGACCAGGAATGCCAACTCCAACGCCTGCTTCTCGTTCAACCTGGGATCGCAGTATGTGGTATAGTTCAGGCTTAGATCCTCGTCCACAAGTCCTTCACTTCCGCCTGTGCATTCCGTAACTGCATCGCCGGTGAGTTCCAGGTGCATGCCACCGAGGAACGACCCGTGCTGCTTGTGAATCTTGAGCGCTGATGAGAGCTCAGAGAAGATGCTGTTGAAAGAGCGGGTCTTGATGCCAGTAGGCGTGCTGCGCGTGTTGCTATCGACACATTAGTGAATGAAAGATTGCGTACCAAGACGACTTACCCGTGCATGGGATCGCACTGCCACACTACAACGTGTCCACTGCTCTTGACAGCTTCGATGTGCGCTCCAAGCATCGACTCAACCTTGTCCGCACCATATCGCGTGATCAATGTAATCTTGCCAATCTCCTTATTCGGGTTGACAATGTCGAGTAGTTCTACGAGCTCGTCGTTCTTCATGGAAGGACCAACCTTGATACCAATAGGGTTCTCAATACCGCGGAAGTACTCAACGTGGCCTCCGTCGATTTGACGAGTTCGGTCTCCGATCCAGATGAAGTGAGCAGAGGTATTGTACCAGCCCTTACCGTCATTTGAGGCCTGAGAAGGCTTGTAGCCTGAAGGGTGCTTGAGTCTCCTTGTCAAGCTCTGCTCGTACTCCAAAACGAGACCTTCGTGGCTGGTGAACAGGTCTACTGTCTGCAGCTGACCTGACGTGTCCGCACCGATAGTCTTCATGAAGCGCAACGAGTCGGAGATGCTGTGGACGATTTTCGAGTACTTGGTTTGTAGTTCCTCGTCCCGAACGTGACCCAGTTCCCAGTCCAGAGGATTGTGCAGATCAGCAATACCGCTTGCTAGCTGTCCACGGATGTAGTTCAGTGTCGTCGCCGAATGGAAGTAGGCGCTGACCAGCCTCTCGGGATCAACTCTTCGAGCGTCAGGATCATATCCATTGAGGATGTCGCCGCGGAAGCTAGGGACTTCCTTGCCGTTCAGCATCTCAGTCGGGCTCGATCTGGGCTTAGCATACTGTCCGGCTATACGGCCAATACGAATGACGGGCTTGTTTGAACCCCAAATCAGTACCAAACTCATTTGCAGCAGAAGCTTGATCTTTGCATCGATTGGGTTGTCCGCGCAGTAGGAGAACAACTCGGCACAGTCACCTCCTTGCAACAGGAACGACTTTCCAAGTGCAGCATCGCGGAGACTGGCCTTGAGTCGCGCGATCTCTGTTGGCGTGACGATTGGCGGCAGACTCGATAGCTTGGTCAGCGCAGAGGATACTGCTGCTTGATCTTCATATGTGACGACTTGCTTGATGGGCTTTGACCTCCAGGCTGTAATTGTTAGTACGGGAGAATGAGCGTTCATGGTTCCTCTTACAAGCTGGCGACCATTCTTGAAAGCCGGCATCTGTCTCAGCTTCTTGCTTTGGCCTTTCCGGCAGTTGTGTCGAGTTTGCGCTCATCGTCGACGGAGTTGGTTGCGATTGTGTTTGGCCACTGGTTGCTGCCATGAATTGGGAAACGTAGTCGGTTAATTTTGCGTGCCCTTCGTTGTCCATAATGTGTTCTCTTCCAGTTGATGTGTCTAGGTACACTTCTTGACTAGTTCAGGGCTGTCTAGTTGCGACGCGGAAGATCACCTTTGAGTCACTTGTTAATATGGCAGTTCGGCAAGGGTTCGCCTGCAAGGAGACGTGACCAAAGGACGCAAACACATGACTCAAGGTACAAAATCTGCAACGAAAAGCGGACTGCGTGCGCAATACTTCATGACGTAACACAGCAAACTTACCCTGAGTATGCTGATAGGTGTGTAGCGAGTATATCGCCGCTTCTGCGTTGGTGTTCGTGTGTTAGATCTATGTTCCTGCCTGATGCGAGGTTTTGTGCAAGAATGTAGGAATTAGAAGCGTGCATAACTCGAGAAAGTCAACCAATGGCGGCCACTCTCTTTTCCCATTGGCCACATTTCCATAATCCTTAGCTGCCCCACAACCATCAGCTCTCCAATCCACTGGCGTCATTGTCTCTCCATCTTCCGTCGTCTATACAAGCCCTCTATATCCCCTCTGCGCTCTGCCAGCCTTCAAAACTGTATCAATCTACTCGCGACATCCACAATGGCCGAGCCCCAGCCCTCCACCGTCCAAGAAGGCGCCGCCGACCCGCACGCACCCACGAGCACAGCCGATGACCGCAAAGCCGCCGCCGCCCTCTCCACCCTCGACGCGCCCCAAGAAGGCGAGAATGGGCCGAAGAAAGAAGTCGATGGCAAGGCACTAGACAAGGCGATGAAGGGACTGAATGTAAAGGACAAGAAGGAGGGCGAGAAGAAGAATGTCAAGATCGAGGCAGCTGATGTTAACCTGCTGGTACGTTCACCTTGCAATAGACGCGCAAAGAGATGGATGTGCAGACATGTTGGAATCACTGGGCATAGACTGACAGTTGGACGAACAGGTCTCCGAACTTGAACTTACGAAGCCGAGGGCTACGGAGCTATTACGCGCCCACGATAGTAACGCGGTGAAAGCTATGACGGCGTTTGTCATGACGGCACCCTGAGCGATTGCATGGAAAGGACAATCATGCAAACACACAGAGCCGTCGCTATTGTTTGAGGCTGCACATATTGAGGCGTCGAAGGGGTCCGAGTATGGGACGAAATCCGGGCAGGCACTCGCATCTTCCGGGCTCAGGCCATCTGCTTGGACGATGTACAGCAACGGCCAATCTGCCCCCTGCCGCAACACAACTGGGCAATGCTAGATTGACGACTTTGGGAATAAGCGTTCAAGAACAGAAATAAATGGGATTATCACCGACAAGGCTTCCGTAGCATGAAAGACAAGACACCCACGAGAAGGTTTCGCGTTTCGAGACAAAAGAATTGATAGTCTACACTGGACTCTAGACATCCTCTACAAAGATAGATTCTCCTTAGCGATGATACGCCAGAAATCGACCACAAACTCTCCGCCCTCTTGCAACAGAGGAGCAAACGCTTCATGCTTCCCGATGGTCGATACTTCGCAAGCTATGTACTCCACCACCAGCTTTCTGAGATCTTCGATGCTCCCGTCAGGCTTCCTGTCTTCCCCATTATCATATGCGTATCTGGCCAGCTCAACCACATCGCCTACTCGTCGATCGTAGAGCTTGAACTTGAGAAGGGTTTGGTGGAGCTTGTGTAGAGCCAGGCGTTTGAGAGGGTCGATGAGGCGCATGCAGGCGAAGGTATAGAGACGTGCGTGCGCTAAGAAGATAGGCGTGAAATCTTGTTCTGGCGCGGAGTTCTCTGGGGGCAGGAAGCGTTCAAGCATTATGGTCTTGGGCTCTTGCGACATGAGGTATTCGCGCTGGCGGAAGCGTTGGCGCAATCTACGGGTTGCTTGGTTGAAGTCTGAATCCGAGACTTCCTCACCGCATAGAACTACTTCCGGTTCTCCGTCTGGTGAAACTTCCCAGTCATCTGCCGGTGGGACCTCGTCATTGTAGGCAGCCTCATCGAAATCGTCTTTCTTCACTGCGCCCTCATCCAGGGTCCAAGACGGCGCAGTGTAATCGTAACCTAAAGATGCGTGTACGAAGTCAGTGTTTGTCTCACATGCTGTTCGTACATAGTTAATTACTAACGATATGAGTACTCGACAAATCGAGCAAAGTCATCCGGCTCCATGTCCGGATACTCTACGGACCTTTCTTGCGACTGTACCATGCCATTGTTCACAAGTGCGTGAAAATGCCATGAGGTCGCGGCGACCGCTTTAGAGTGCACAACGAATGCTTTCTTCTCTTTGCCGATGTAGAAGGTGAACGGCTTCGATCGGATGAGACTATACACTGTCAGTCACCACGTTAAGTGACTGGTATTACATACTTACTCCTCAAAGGAACATGACTCTGATGGATCACCCATCTTCGCACTTTCTGAATACCTCTGAAGTGCCTAGCGACCTAGGTAGGTACATGTTGGAGGCATTCTGCTATACATAGTTTGAGAGATTACGCGCCTTCAATGCGGGGTCGTACAGTGCATTCGCATACATGTAGTATGCGCCTGGTGTAGTACAGCATGATTTTTCTGCCTGTGGCGTCCAGACACGTCTTCTGAACATGCAGCTTTCTGCACTGTGCCGCAAACGTCAAACAGATACCCAAGTACCGCCACACACGAAAATAGAACAGAACCATACTTTCGGTCAAGTACAGGATACCATGATGATCGTGTCTGAGCAATAGTGCAATATGATCATCACTTTACGTTGGCATTACCCTAAAGATCGCGAAGCGCGAGTATGCTTGGAAGGGCGCTTCGACAAACGCGCCATAGCTCTTGCCGCTGTAAGAGTTGGAGAAAGCCGCATTAGTTTACAGGCACCCAGGAAGCGCACATAAGGATAGCGAATATGAGCAGCGCGTGTAAGGCTAGCACTTGACGGGCGATTACTGCAAACCTACAAGCGTAAGCGAGCTCTGAGGCAACCGCAACCGCGTCTTGTCCGTTGCTTTTCCCATCTCAAAACAGGGTTCCACCACGCTGCGTCATCCGCGATCTTAGCAAGGTGATCGCGCGGGACGTTGCACATGGGGTTCCATGCTCGCCGCCGACGTTCTGGACGAATCGCGCGCTGCAGACCGCGATGATGTGCACCACGTACGTCACCGATCCGTGAATATGGTAGACGCTCCATACCTCACTACTCGTTGTTGAAGTCAACGTCCGGCAGCCAGATACACTAACGGCCGTCTACCAACTATCCATCTATCCTGTTTCTCTGCTTGCGCTACTAGCGCATGCAAGCTGTCAACACGGCGCCTCAAGTCCCCTCTCGTCGCGCTCTCGCTGGCATTGCGCTCATCTCTGTATTGTCGGCCGTCGAGAAGCAGCGCAAGAAGAAGGTGAAAGGCAAAGAAGACCAGCACGAGTTCAATACGACCGAAGATATGTCTGGTGAACTACAGACCATACCTGCGCGCCATGGCGTCGCAACTTTTGTGCCTAGAGGCAGGACGATCAAGGTCATTAACACATACGGAAAGCAGGTAGTCAGTATGTGGGCGTTTAGTCTGGGACCCCCGCCTGACGATGGAGATGGCGAGGAGGGCGAAAGGAAGGAATTGGACGACGAACAAATCAAGAAGGAAGCAGAGCAGATGAAGAAGGCTGTCGAGGAAGAGGGAGAGAAAGCTACAGAGGCGACAAAAGGAGAAGATGACGAGGCGAAGGAGCCGAAGAAGGGGGCAGATGGTAACGACAATGGTAAAGAAACGCAATCTACCGAAGAAAAAGCCGAAGACTCAAAGCAAGAAGCTGCTGAGGACCCACCCGAGCAGGCTCCCGATACGCCCAACAACGAGAAGACGACCGAAAGCACAGATTCATCGTCAAAGCAGCCCAACAAGCGCACATGGGCGTCATACCTTCCTTCTATCCCGTACCGCAGCAAAGGTGGAGCGAGCAAGCAGGAAGCAGAGCAGAAGCCTAGCCCTGAGCAGGAGAAGAAGCAGAATGAGGAGAACACTAAGAAATGGTCTTCATACCTGCCTACTGGAAAGAGTTTCTCTAGCTACGTACCAAACGTCGAAGTACCAGACTCCAAATCCGTCGTGAGCGCATTCAAGTCGAGCCATAACCGCGATCCGAACAAGAGCTACGCGGAGCAGTTGTACGACTTCTCGAAGACACCCGTGGGTGCTGGAACTATTGCCGGTAAGTCAAAGGATGCGACACTACGTTGTAAGAATCCGTACTGACACAGTGTAGCTGCAACCGGGTCAGGGTACGCATCCTCAGCTTACGCTGTATACTCCGCCTACGCTTCGACGAATCCTTCGAACTCTGAGCAACCTCCCATGGAGTACCTCTCTCTTCCCCACACGCGCGCTGCCTCGCACAAACTCGTACCCGAAGTCGATGACGAACTCCTGACCAACCTGCGCAACCCGATCGTCACTCTCATCGAAGACACCTCGCCTGGTGCGCACGATACACTGACGGCGGCGTGCGACGCGAACCAATACGCTGCTCTCGGTGTCGATAAGCCAGCGGAGCATGGTAGCTGTGCCGAGAACCTCGTTCTCGCACTCAAGGAGATCAACGAGACGGCAGGACTGAAAGGCCCAAAAGCAGTTGGCGCAGACATCTCCGTCAATATTGCACCCACGCCCCTTCATCTCTTTATGAATGCGCCTCTGCAATCCGAAGGTACATCCCACAGTGACGGCGCAGGCACAAAGGGCGTGACACTCAGCGTCGATGAGCCCAAGGGCAAGAAACGCTGCCACATCCGCTTCCGCGCCGAGCGAGACGTAGTCATTGTATTCAGCGCATGCCCCATGGACGTGGGCAAGCAGAACGGCGGACGCTGCATGGCAGCCAACTTCATGGTCGAAGACGTCCAAGAAGGCGAAGACCTCGCCTCATCCGTCGCATCTGGCAAAGCGAAGAAAGCACCGAAGAAGCTGAACCAGAAGGACAAGGCATATGACACGAAACCAAAGCCTAAAGAAGCGCAGCAGCCTAAGAAGGACGACACGGCGGAGAAGAAGGAAGCACCAAAGAAGCCAGAGTTGAAGAAAACGGAGTCGACTAAACAGGCACCTAAGAAAGATGGCGATGCGGCTGATAAGAAGAATGCTCCTGCGCAGAAAGATGAGAAGCCAGATGGCTCCACGACATCTGAAGAGCCGAAGGCAAAGAAGAAGCCTAAGAAGCTTCAGGTGCGTAGCCAGGGGGCGTAGACACCAACACAGTCCTCGGGAAGCTAGCTGCGATTGTGTGCCGGCCGTCGTTATTGCCGTGGTTCAATTTGCCGGTTTGAGCATTGAAATTAGGGTTTTGTACAAGAGCTCTGGGTACTTGTGCCTTGATTTATGTAAACAAGTAATGTCTATGATACTTCTTGACTTTGGCGTGTACCTGTGGGTCTGCCAGTCTTGTGATGAAGTTTTGCGGCATTGGAAACGAAAGGAAGTACATCCAATATGGGAGTAGAGAGAATAATGATCAAGTTGCACCATGGCGAGCTGAAGGATAAAGGAAGTCATGAGGAAAGAAGATGGATTTGGAATACCGAGAAGACACATCAACGAGGGTATGTATGCTACATCCACCTATCTCCCACTCAGACCTTCACACACACCTATCAACTACTCAATCAACCTCTTCTCCACCCACCTAACCCCCTGGCTCCAACTTACTCCCCTTTCCAAGCCGTAGCCTCAGCCCCCCTCCCCCTAACATAAACCGTCTCCATCCCCCTCGGCACAGCCGTAGGCTGCGCAACCGGCTCCCTCTTCCCCCACGAGATATACGTCGGCGGCTCAGGCTTCGGCCACGAGATACTCTGCCAGGGAAACTCCAGCCCAATACTGTTCTGCTGCGGCGCTGGCACGGCTTCTCGCTCTGCTACAGCGGGAGCTGGGGCGGCAGTAGGTTCAGGCGCGCGCTTCTTCTCTTTGCCCCAGATGACGGTGTAGGTTGGGGGGTTGAGGCCGACGCTGTTGGGCTGCGTGGGCGCGGGGTTGGCGGGGATTTCTACGGGGCCGTCGTCGTCTTCGTTGTCCGCGGGGAGTTCAGGTGAAGATGTGGGTAAGGCATCATCGTCTTCTTGGCGCTTTTTGCCCCAGATTACGGTTACGGTGGGCGGGTTCAGTCCGATGCTGTTTGCTTGGGTTGGTTGGGAGGGAGGTGGAAAGTCGTCTTCTGGGTAGTCTGGGTCTTCTGGGAAGGGCTCCTCGGGAAAGGGCTCCTCGGGGAAGGGTTCTTCTGGGTCGGAGGGGTGGGGCTCTTCTTCGGAGGGAGGGGCTGTTGGTTCGGGCTCGTCGTAGTCCCAGGTTACGCTGTAGTTGGGTGGACCTACGGTGATGTCTGCTGAACGTGTGGAGGTGGAGGTGGAGGGAGGACTTGGGGTTGTGGAAGGGCGAGGAGGACTGGGCGTCGGTGTTGGGGTGGGCTTTGGGATGGCAGATGGTGTTGGTGTAGGCGTAGGGGTGGGCTTGGGTGTATATGTAGGCTTAGGCGTTGTTGTAGCTACAGTCGAAGACTTGGATGATGACTTGGAGGTAGACTTTGACGTGCTCTTTGAAGTGCTCTTCTTCGTGGTAGTCTTTGTCATCATAGTCTTACTCGTCTTAGACTTCTTGGTGGTCGTAGAAGTTGGTTTTGCGTTTCTCTTATTCAAATCCCAGCTCACGCTGAATTTGGGCGGAGAGAGGCTGATGATAGCGCTTTTGGTCGCTGAGGGGACTGGAGCTGGGGAAGGTGTTGGCTTAGCAGTTGTCGACGGCTTTAGTGTCGAAGTTGGCTTCTTAGTAGACGTCATAGTGGACTTTGCGGTGGACTTCATCGTCGTTGGCTTCGGTGGCCATGGGTTCCATGGAGGGTAGCCGGGTTTCTTGGTAGATGAAATCTTACTCGATGAGGCAGACTTAATAGAAGAAGACACTGGAGGTTTGTAACTCGTGACAGAAGCGGAGCTAGTCATACTGGAGTTCGACCAGATAGGGGGAAGAGATACGATGGAGGAGTACTTCGAAGTTGGCTTTGGCGTTGGCGTTGGTTCCGGTGTAGGCGTTGAGGACGCGCCTGGACCATCTCCGTCCCAGGTAATACTGTAAGATGGTTTTCCGATGCTGAACTGATCGCTAGGCTTAGGTGGGGGATAACCAGGCTCTTCAGGCTCTTCCGGTTCAGGAGTTGGCTCGGGCCCATCAGTGGCCCAGCTCACCCAGAAGGATGGTTTACCGATGCTAAACTGATCCGTCGGCTTAGAAGGAGGAGGGTAGTCGGGTTCTTGGGGAGCAGGTGTGGGTGCAGGCCCGCTCGTCTCCCAGCTGATCCAGCCGGACGGTGTACCAATACTGAATTGATCAGTAGGCTTGGCTGGAGGCGGGTACTCAGGTTCTTCTGGAGCA